AAATTTGTATAAAATATTGACAGCGAAGCGGAAGGACAAAAGATAGACTTTTGTGATTCAGTTAGATTCCTGGTCTTTGTTATTCGATTTATAAAACAAAAATTGTTTCTTGAAAGAATTTTGAATCATTATTTCATATTTACGTATTAATTATTATGATCTATTCATTTCTTTAAAGTAACAATTATTCATTTATAATGATATAAAATCTACTTGTAAGAACAAAGGCAGTTTAGTTCACCAAAATTTATTATTGCCAACTCAGAAGACTACGAATTAGGTTTATAATTATTTAAGTATTCATTAAAAGTAATTATACTTTTTTAAACATTACACAAAGTTAAACTTTTTATTATAAGTATTAATAATGATATTAAATATGTGTTTATCTTTTATTAACTTGAAATACCTCATAATCATCTACTTCAAACTGACTTTTTGGAATATCAATTTGAGAATAATAATATGGGTGATTAAACGCATTCCAAGTATTATTATAATAACCAATATCATAACCATTACCAAACACTGGACCATTAATCGGATTACAATATACAGCATATTGAGCATGATCATCATTAATGTAACCTACTTTTGCAGTTTGAAGGTTCGTTCTATTTACAAATGAGAATAGAAAACTATCCTTAGTTGTCTTATAACCATTTCCTTCCCACCCAAACGGATTATATCCTCCCACTATTTGTTCCGTCCCGTTAATTTTTATTACGACGATATTGGCCCCTTTGTTATCACATTTTTGATGAAATGCTGCAGGTGTATTACCATCTCTACTTGCACGATAAAGTAAATTAAAATCATAAGACTTCTTCTTGACCTTATTTTCTTTCTTATCAATCCAGCCGGAAAGTTTAGCAAAATGACGAGAGTTAATTAGGATTGAATCATAATTATCTAGAATTGAATCACATTTTGACTGTCTAGGAGGTGGTAAATTAATATATAATTTCTTATCTGGTGTCAAAGCGTATGCTAGGAGTTTAACAACCAAATCCTGTGGTAGTATTTCTCCAAAAGGAAGTACTTTTTCAAGGAAATCATTTGAAGGCATATGATGAAATCTAACCAAAGGGATATACCTATGAAGAGTTCTTTTCATAATTGTAGCTTCATCGTTACTCCATTCTTTGACGTCTTTAGGGATAGACGGATTCTGAGCAAAACCCCATTTAATTAAACTATTCCAAATATCTACTTCTTCCAGACTTAAATCATCCCGTTTTAAAAGGAATTCTAATAAAGGTGCTTTGATATTGAAAAATTTATCAGAATTAAAAAGCTCTTCTGGGTCTTCACAAATTTTTTCTAGATAAAAATTTCGTAATTTTGTGAAGGTCTCATGTTGATAAATTGTTTCAAGAATTCCTACAGGGTTGTTTTGCAAAAACTCATGATGGTCTTTAATTAAATAATCTTCAATTTCGGGAACTAACGATTGAAGATTAAATGTACCTGCCACTTTTAAGAGCTCTAATACTTCAGTTCCTTCTAATTTAGTCATGTCAATCCTTCCGCAATATATAAATCTGAAATTTAAAGAGAGATTAATATCGGTTTATATTATTAACGTAATTGTATTTATTTACCTTAAAATAATTTTTAAAAGATTCGGAGGAATGTTTGGCATTTTTAAAATAAATTTCCCTTCCCTCTTCTCAACATTTTCTTTAGTTAATTCATCATAAAAATATTGCGACCTGAAACATAAAATATTTGAAAGGGCATGTAGTTCTTTAACGCTTTCGGTTTCACCGGTATAAATAATTACATCATATCTTTTGTCATTTTCCAACAACCTTTCATAATCATTCTGCAAACATTCTAAAGACATTTTTACAAATATATCACATTGAGAAGATATATAACTAAATTTAAACTATAATTGAGTTACACCACACCACATTTAAGTTTTGTGTAATTAGATGATCTTTAATGCAATGATGCATGATGAAATATGATTATTTCTAACTATAACGGGTGGTATATAATAACACGTGATACTTATTTTAAAAAAAATATTTATATAGGGAGCAGCTATACCCTAGGTACATTTTAAGGATGCCGTATTAAAAAACCAACCTTAACCTAATACCACGCCACAAGATGAGGGTGGTGTCTGTGACTAATAACTAGTGACAAATAGGTTTTCACACCTTAAAAAAACTGTTACCAGATTAAAAAGTAAAAAAATGAGATATGTTTGTGTGATAAATTATTTTATAATCACATGACCCGAGCTTTTTAATATAATATCACATGATCCAGTGATCGTAACATCCTGTTATTAAAAGTAAATACCTTTGTGATTAACATTAAATAAAAATAAATATCGCAACAATTTATTTCTGTTTTTATGTTAAATAAAATGAATAAATGAAAAAAGATTTTCGTTAATTAATGTAATGTATTTTCATTATACAAGAAAATAAGAAAAAAAAAATAGCTTAGTTATTAATTCGTCTAGATATCGCTTTTTGAAGAATTATAGTTAATTTATGAATTACCTTTGATAATTGAATATTTGAAGAGTTTGATCATCTAAAATAAAAATTATCTGTATACATATTGTCAATTTCTTTGAATCTTATTTATAACAAACTCAAGATCTTTTGAAATATATTCTAATAAATAAATTTTGTTAAATTAATTAGAACTTCTTTTATTGAAGTTACTTGAAATATTAATTAAATCATTTGTTAAAATACACTTTACTATCAATACAAAATCTTCTTAATAAGTACAAGCCTCGTTTATTTATCGTACAAGACATTACAATTTTAATAATATATTATATATGTATTTAATAATGTTTTATAAAATAAATAATAAATGTATATTTTTAAAATATCTTGTACAATATATTTAATAATCCCTTATAAAATACAAAATAAATTTTAATCAATTGTATGATTCATTTAATAATGTCTTATAAAATATAAAATAATTTGTAAATATAAAATAAATTTGAACTTTTATAATCGATATAAACAAGACTCTCATTATATTATTTTTGAAATTAAAAAGATTTGTAAAATATATTACACAAAGGCTTTTGAAATTAGAAATAATTTATTAGCAAGACTTTAATGTTTAGCAAATTTTATCACAGGTAATATAACATAACCAATAATAATACGATAATAACAAATATAAAGTAGTGTGAATAATTGACCGTCAGCTTTTTTCATGTTTTTCTCAAATCCTCCATGACCGTGACTGTGACCACAACCACAACCACGACTTCGACTTGGTATTGAAGAATTTGATGGATTCAGATCAATGTTATTAGCGAAATTTGTAGCATAATTATGAGAGAGATGAAGATCACAGGTTATATAATCGAGAGTCTTGACTTTATTTAAAGCTAGT